CACAAAAACACTGTCCAGGTGTGCTTTTCTGCTCTGCTTTCAAAATGCTACTTCTTGCTTCTGTAATCTCTTTCTGATTTTATCTATATATATAAAAGCGAAAACCACTCACGCATTAATCATGAAATTTCCATAACTGTACAGCCTACAAACTTGAAATTTGCCACATATGTTCCTCTTGGCTTCTAGGTACTCACTAAGAAAGGAATTTTTCGAAATTACCATCAGAGCATTAGTATTCCCTATATTATTATTAACACGCTCTGATGCTAAGGAGTTGTACGCCTCCTCCCCACCTGAAAAGAAATCTGTTCCAAATGCAAAACACAAGCAGAGGAGAGAAGTTTCACTTTCAGTTTTCAGTTTTACTTTCACAGCAGTAAGCAGCTTTACTGTTGAGCTAAGCAACAGTCTCCTTCCTGTCTCCTTCTTGCTCACACAGCAAATACTGTTTGACTTTCCAAACACCCCTCAGCTCTCACACACTGACAGGATGCTAGCCAGATGAATACCAATGGATGCTGCAGGCTGAGACATTCTACTCCCCCTCCCCCTCTGTTCCAACTGCCAGTTGCATTATATTAACACACTCTGATGCTACGGAGTTACACATTCTACATTAGGTTTCAGGCAGTAATTTTATCAAGCCCGAGCACATAGTTTTGTAACGAAGCACAGGCATACAGCTAGTTTATTTAATATGCAGCCTATCTCACTATTCAAAGTGACTGCAGGGTGTCTACTTTTTTCTCTTACTTCAGGTGACTGGAAAAATGATAAAACAAGCCACAATAGCGTAGGAAAATCCTCTTCAGACAAATGTTTAACCTGGATTAAAGGCTACTTGATTTACGCCACTGGATTTAAACCATACTTGATTTACTAATCTGTGCAAATAAGGAATTTAGAGAAAGAAAAGTAGTGTGTTAGGTTTTGAGCAAGCAACAGGCAAGGGTTGTAATTACTGTCTATTACACAACAACTGTTAAAAGTAACTCTAGACAACTTTAGAGACCAATAGGGCAGCAAGAAACGATTTTTAAATTTCACCCTGAGTGTACTAGGATATGTGTGTTTTGGTGATTTTATTTTGTATATATAACTTTAATTTATATGTTGTGTGTGTGTGTAAGATTCACAAACAGGAAAGAAAGTGATTTGAAAGTTGGAAGCAATACAAAAGCAGAGAATTATCCAGTGGGAAGATATGATAGCCTTTAGTCCAGGTTAAATGTTTGTCTGAAGCAGGTTTTCCTAATACATTGTGGTGTGAAGCCAGAATGAACACAAGATAGGAAAAGTTTAAGGGTGCAGCATGGATATAAATAGCTTCATGCCTTTGTCACTTTAATGACAGAGACACAACTAAAGCTTTGGAAGATAAATTTGCTGACCTCATTCACTGAATATGTAATTCATTGAATACAAGTACCGTATTATACAAATACTGTAGATAATAGTGTTAGATTGCTTCAGTTTGCCCTCAGCAATTTATCAAGCAATTGTAGTTGCTAGAAGCTGTTTCCAACTCTTTCAGTTACCATAAATTCTGCAACTGACATGAGGCCTACAAATGAAGTGAATTTCTTCTCATCTAGATTAGAATTGGGTCACTTCTTTAGGAAACACCTCATTGAAACAAGGGTAGCCATTCTTCATAGGCCTTATGAATAACAGTGATCAATGATTTTCAGAACAATTGCTGTAAATACTTCTCAGGAAAAAATAAAACAAAAATTGAATTGTTGCACAGGGATTCTGAAAAATGTTCAGGGAAATTTAGGTGTGTTTCAGTTGTATACATTTTTTAAAAATGTCAGTTTTGCAATTACATTAGCAAAATGTCATTTGTGTTATTATATTAAAGATTAAAATAACCGGAACAGTAAATTAGCACTACTTCTATTCAACAAACTGTCCTTTAAAATGGTGAGGTACTGAAATGGTAATTATTGCTGTTAAGTGGCTTGGGTAGACATCTGTTGTTGCTTTTTTTAGTATTAAAAATAAAATTACACTTTGGAAAATAACTATTTTTTTCTCCAAGCCATTATTTTCATTATGCTTTGTTGTAAAGATCATTTACTTTAAAGTGTCCTTTGAGTAGCCCATTGAACATCTGTACCTGTAAAGTTATGTTTTAGAAAAATTATAAGCAAAAACACAGACTCTAAGCTCTTTTGCAACTTTCTGAACAAATCTTAAGGAGAAATAGGTCATATTCTTCAACTGTTTGTAATTAACTTGAAGACAGAATAGGGTGTATAATGTACATCTGGGAAGGTAGCACTGGCTTAATCACTATTTGAGAATGTCCAGTACAGTAGCCATCTAGACTTTACTGCATGAAAAGACACTGGATAGAAAATGAGCTATCTCGCCACCTTTTCTAATTTTGTCCCCAGCTTTCTAGATCACATTTGGATTCCAGATTTTACATCATTTACATTTTGCCCCATTTCCATTTTTCTTTTTATTATAAAGAATGCTTATACATAATAGCGTAATTATTTAGACTTATATTCCACCCACATTACTTTACAACACTCTCCAGCATTATTTGTAAATTGCCCTCAACAATCCTGGTCCTCGTTTTACCAACCTCAAAAAGATGGAGGGCTGATCCCCATCAGGATCGAACTCCAGGCTGTGGGCGGAGTTCACCTGCAATACTGCACTTAACCACCACACCATCAAGGCTCCTCTCTAAGTATTTAGAAGGATAATTTCCAAATATTAAGGGTTTTATTTTAAAAAAAGAATTATTGCATAGTTCTCTACTGTGAAATTTCTGAAAATTTCTGACTAAATAGTTTTGAGTGCAGGACTATGTAATACGCATCTGTCCAGACTTATGATCCCATCAGCCAAGCCTTCCTAGCCAATTTTTGAAAGGCCATAGTTTCACCTTTGTTTTAGTTGAATAATGGTAGATGTTGGGTCTGTTCTTCATGATTGCACTCTTCACAAGGAATAGTGCAGAACTGCTAAAATTAAGGGAAATGAACTGAAATACACATCAGTATTAAACTCAGAAATTCATTTGTTTGTTACACTATATACACTTGCACTCCTTCAGGATGTGATGAAATGACTCTAAAATGGTCATAATGTATTTTCATTTTTAAAATAACACATAAGAACAAATTTTGTACTCCCCTTTAATAAAGGAATTTTTGGATTTCCAAACAAACAGTTGAGGATAACATATAATTTAAGACATTATAGGAAATGTTTTAGTATCACATGAAAGAAAAGAAGTAACTGGTTTCTTTTGTTTAGGTGTAACTTGACAACTAGATAATTAGATTAGAAATGGAGAGACTTCTATTCCTCTCTTGATATGAAGGCTACTGGGAGATTGTGAGCCGGTCATTTTCTTTCAGCCAACCCATCTTATAGAGTTGATGTTGTTGGGGAAAATAAGATGTGTGAGTATTATATGTACCACTATGAGATATATAAAATAAAGGTGGATTATAAATTAAATAAATAACATTTCTATCAGTTAAAGTTAGCCTTGATTAACAACTGCTTTTCAGCAACCATTTGAAGTTGCAATAGCTCTGAATGAGTGATATGATCTGGCTGTTGCACCACTCCTATAGTCATGTGATAATAATCTGGCCACTTGGACAACAGTTGATTTGGACTAGAAGGCTAAAGAAGAAATATGCAGAAGCTTGTTTTTCAGTTTCCATATTAAAGTTAACTGCACGCCACAGATAGTGAAAGTCATTTCATATAATGGTAAAACAGGCACCAGCCATTTCCCAGCCAGTTAGCTGTGGAGACTGAACCCTCTCCAAGCAGACAGATATGTTCTTTGTGGATTGAAAATATGTGTCACAGAGGGAGGTGGGGATCACACTTATAACTGTTTGAAATTAAAAATTACCTTAAATATTGTTACTTTGACATTCCTTCCTAATCAATATTACTGATCAGAGAACAGAGGCACTTGTTGCTTTGCATTATACGGTATATCTAATTTGTTGCAAAAGACATCTGACACATTCAGCTTCCTTATTTTGAATTTGTGAATGACTTGGCATAAATACAAATGTGTATTCAAGTTTATAGAAAGCTGTTGGGTTAATCTTGGACCACATTTAGAGAATGCCAGTTTTGGTTCCCTTAGAAACTAATGAAAATTTACCAGTCTAACTGATGCATGCAACTCTTTCCACTTTCTAAGAAAATTTATTTGTTATGTATTAATTTTTATTATTTTTTCTTGTATTAGTTTTAATCCCATCCTATTTTTTTATAGCTACATTTTTTTAAATATACAATTATCGTTTTTAAATGATTGCACACATAAATCATTTTTAAATTCTGCCAGATTTAAATCTAAATTGAATTGTAATTGACAATTATAAACAATTCTAGCATGCCTTTTGTTAAAGTCTTTTAAAGCGTCCTTTTTCTGGGAGTCATAGTAAATTCCCGGTGAGTTTTACACCTTGCAATTCTTTCTACTTCAGCAACAGAAGAAATCCTTCATCCTTCATTTATTCAAATGAATCCTGTCATTCTTTTGGATGTTTTAAGTCATTGACAAGCAGTTACAATTGTAATTTTCCTTGCTGCCTGACAGTAGTACAACTTTTAGATACTCTGTGAAAAGTAAAGTTCTCACAAATTATGGTCCCTTTGTTTTCCTTCTGCCAGAAAGGAAAAGGAAGGTAAAGAAAACACTTCGTTATGAGCTGAATAACATCAGTCAGATACTTGGGTTGGTACAGTTATTGTGGACAAGACAAGGTTGTAATGTTCATATTGAAAATACCGATTATGAGTAATAAAAGCTGGTTTGTATTCCAAATGAAGCAGATTTGCTAATAATATTTATTAGAAAATTGGATTCTTGTAATGAATACTTTTATGGAAATTAATTTGAAAGTTAATGGAAATGAATCGATTAGGACGAATAGGTCTTTTTGTAGCTGTCTGCATATTAAAACTTCTGTCTCTTTTTTCTTTTTGGAAAAACATAGGTATTGAACACTTAAAGACAAAAATAAGAAGTACTGTATCTGTGCGGGAAGGACAAGGGGTTGTTCTCCTCTGTGGAGCACCGGTTCATTCTGGAGGTAAAGAAACAGGAATCTATTCCATTATTGGCCAAAATGATTGATGTGCAAATAGAGCAGCCTTTCCCTAGAAAATGTTATGAATCTCCAAAAGTCATATTTGAATCTATATTAGTGGTTACATTATATAAATTGTGGTATTGTGCTATTTTGCTTATTTTTAAAAACTTTTAAATATAAATTTTAATAAACTGGCATGCTTATGGAAGGAAAGAAAGTATGGAAGAAAGGGAATGCTTTCAATAAAGGAGAATATTTGTAGCTCAGGGTTGAAATAAGGAGTCCTTGGTGGTCTCTGAGCTTGGTTGTTTTCTTGAAGACATTTCATTACCCAAACTAGGTAACATCATCAATGCTAGTCTTGATGACTAGTCTCCCAACACTGATATTATTTACCATGTTTTCCCGAAAATAAGACCCTGTCTTATATATTTTTGAACCCTGAAATAAGTGCTTGCACTTATTTTCAGGAATGTCTTATTATTTTGGGGCGTGTGGAGCAAGATGGGGCTCCTCTTGCTATATTACCTGATTTCTAGCTCTGTCTCCCTAAACCTAACCAGAGGAAATGGCGGGGACCGGCTGTGCATACATTTAAATATTTTCGGGGGAGAGCTTATTTTAGTGCATGCGCTCAAAAGCCCAATTGGGCTTATTATCAGGGGATGTCTTATTTTAGGGGAAACAGGGTAGTTAGGGTAATGAAATGTCTGTAAGAAAATAACCAAGTTCTGAAAGTGCTAAGGACCTCTCAGGGAATGGTTTGAATAGAGATTGACTGTTCTGATAAATGAGTGCAAGCTATTTCATGAAAGAAGTCCATGTAAGAAATCATAAGTAACATGTCCAATATTCCCATAGTTCAGTGTAGCAGGAAACTAAAATCATAGAAACAAAGAGATCTAGTTAAATACACTACTGTCATTTCTACTGCATTTAAATTTATTTGTTTTAAACTTGGCACTAGATTCAGAACTATCAGGATTTTGTATTTTTATTACATAGATAATATAAATCTATTTTATAAACCTATTTCATACTGCTCAGAATTGAAAATTATTTTTTTCTGGCTACTAAAAGCTGTGTTCATATTATTGAATTGGGAATGCTTTCAACACCTGTGGGTATTGGCAGTAAAAATTCCATCTGTTCCTTAAAAAAAATATTTTTAAGGTCTTTAAGTTCATCTATAGAGGAAAAGGGAAAAGTGGTGAAGTGTTTGCTATTCAGAATAAGAGTATAGCAATACGTTAATCAGAATACAATCTTATGTAGGCCTACATAGAAACAAAGACATAGAATTTAATACTAATCTTCCTAAACTTGATACCCTTTTCTCTTTGATAGAAATCAAAGATAAAGACCATGAAACCAAAAGATGTGTCAATGAGTATGTGTATGTGTACATCAGTGTTGGGATTCAAGTAATTTAACAACCCGTTCTCGGCCCTAATGATTTATTCCAATAACCAGTTTTCCAAACTGCTCAGAAAGTTAACAACCGGTTCTCCCGAAGCGGTGCGAACTGGCTGAATCCCACCACTGGTGTACTTTTATACACAGTCTACTAGCTTGGATAGAAATATTATATAAATATAGTAAATAAAGTTTAATTGTAAAACCTCCAAGTTAAAATATGTGCTTTTTAATATCTTGGTTAGGAACATTCAACATATGAAGTAACAATAATAATAATACAATGTAATAATTTATTGTGGCATTGCCATAACAAGTTGAAAAGAAGGAAGTATAGATAATTACTGTATCAATATCAGGAAATAGTAGAACAGAAGACAAAATTTGGAGAATTTTCAAGATCTGAAAATCATGATTTTTCAAGACTGGAAAATTGAAATTGAAAGATTATGGCATAAACTGATTATGGCGTAAACTGATACAGGAATTATCGGCACACCAGGTGCTGAACCAAAAATTCTTTAACAACACTTAGAAAATCTGTGCGTTGACAAAATTTTCATCTGTCAATTAATGTATATGTACTTGGAGCCGCATGTATACTACACTAATACATTCCAATACCTTAGGTTCTGGGAAAAATTCAATTTTTTCCAACATCAACAAAAGAACTGACAGCTGTGATTTTACAAAGCAAAAATACTACCAATAATAATAGATGCCTTGAGTACAGTCATAAAACCTTTGGTGCACCACTTGAACACCACGGATAGTGACAAAAATTACCATCAGTCAATTATGAAACAGCTTTATTTGAAACAAGTTACATGTTGCAACAGTACCTTCAATAACATCAAACAACAGCTTCTGCTATAATATGTCCTTTGGAAAGACTCAATAGGTAAATAAAATCCAGTTTAGACATCTGGCAACTATGACAAACCATAATACTTTAGCACCACCTAACAACATCTGCCTATCCAGGTTCTTGGGAAGGACTCAATATGTAGATAAAAATGCCAAATCCAGTCTAAAAATCTGTCTGACTGTGTGACCAATAAAGGAATTTCAGTAACTATTCATCTATATTGGAGGCCATAATATTTATTCTGCATAACAAGAAACACAATCAAAGCCAAACATTGTGAATTATTTATCACAGAATCAGGATCAAAATGTGTCTCTTGGTGCCAGAGTCTCTAAAATATAAATCTATGTGGGGAAAAAAATCTCATATAGTTTCTCTTGTTCATGTAGAAGTCAGTTTCTATAAAGTTGATCATATTCTAAATAAACTTGTAAAATTGAACACAATCTAAAAATTATTTGAATTAGTAATTTAATATATGAGGAAAGCTTATATATCCACAATTACTTAGATTGAATTATGTCTACATAGTTATGGACCCAAGCCAGTTTTACCTTCAGTGCACATTTCCTCACATATTATTAAATTCATTGTGACCTAATTAATTTCATACAGATATAGTTTATAGTCTCCGTGTTGTGATAGCTCATAGTGACTTCTTGATTATGTTCATTACTAACACACTGATTTCAGCAGACCTCGTTCTGTGTTTTACTTTATACTGTGCATTGTATTAGGCAAATGTTGATAATAATTAAAAGAGCAAATTAAAACCTCATTTTCATTTGGAGCTTTCCATTTCATTTTAAAATGTTTCAGGTTATTTTGTTGACAGTTTTCTTTATTATATACAGCCTCCTATGCCTTACCTACAGCTTTTTTATCAGATTAAAAAAAAGTTCCCTCTCATGAGGAATTAATGGACAGTTAAATGAAGGACTAAATATTTCTTTAGTTTATGTATGCATGTTTTTTCATCTATACAGATTTGTATGTGCGTGCTTATATCTCTATATATTTTACCTATAAATAAGTTTATTGGATGAAGCTCTCTCAGTTTTGTAACCAAGCTGGCTGAATTAAAACTCAAGGGAAAAAGGAATAGAATTGGAGAAATAAACTCACAATGGGCTTCTAGACAAAAAGCTGCTGTTCTTACAGTTGGAGAACAATAGTAACTGTGACTAGACTTAAAAAGCGAGGGAGAAAGGGATACATACATACATACATACATACATACCAATGGTGAAATTCAGCTGGTTCTATCCGGTTCAAGAAACCGGTAGTAGCAGCTGTGGGAGGCTCTGCCCACCCACTTGGACATCATCACGGCCCGTTTTTTACCCTCTGTGCATGCGTGTGCACATTTGTGAACCGGTAGCGAAGGTAAGTGAATACCACCCTGATACATACATACATACATACATACATACATACATACATGACAAGTCTCAATACAGAAGATCAGACTTAAAAGGTAAGTTTCTCTCAATCCTTATACCAAACAACAAACTATATCTTGATATTTTAATGGGGTGGCACTGTATGCAATTTGGGAATCCTTCTGGATAATCATCTCTGATATAATCAGCAAGACTTTTGAACAATATCATCTTGTATGTTATTTGCCTCTGTACCTGGATTGTGTGGTCCTTCTCACAATTGATGGTCACTTCGTGTCTGAAAGTATCTGAGTGATTTGCAATACTGAAAACCACTTGAAAGCCACAATTGCTCCAGAATATGGTAGCAGAATAGATATGGGAGGCTTCTTATTTGACCCACATGACAGATCTGCTCTGATTGCGTCATAAGCTTCTAAGTCAGGGATGTCAAACTCAGGGTGTCACGTGATGTATCATGACTTTTCCCTCTTCGCTAAACCAGGGATGGGTGTGGCCAGTGTGTGATGCAACTGGTCTGCGGGCCACAAGTTTGATACCCCTGTTCTAAGATGTTGATTGTCACATACGGTACAAAGCAATTCATGGCTTAATACTTGGCTCCCTTGCTCCTGTATCTGCTTGATAAGTAAGATGTAGATCAATTGGCATTGATCTTATGGGGCTTCAATTTTAAGGATCTTAAGAAAATTCTCAGTAAATATGCCTGCAGTCAGGAGCAGTGTTCCCCCAGATGTGTAAATATTTCCAACCTTGTTGAGCTTTTCTAAAAAAAATTGGATTTTCCAACAGGTCCCAGGCTAGAACATAACAAATTGTTCCCTTGTGATGACTGGTTAGAAATATATTTGTTTAGTTACCGTACTTTTGGGGGTATGTTCTATATATTGCAGCTTTCTGACTTGATATTGCTGGGCTGCTGATCTAACTATAATATCTAATACCAGAGGTTCTTGTAAGTAGGGAATATCTGGACTGCCAGTTGTCAGAAATGGTGTAGGGTCTCCTGCTTGGGCCGGGGGCTGGACAAGATGACCTACAAGATCCCTTCCAACTCTGTTAATCTGTAATCTTCTAAGGTATCTTGGATGTTGACATATCTTCTGTATGGTATTTCAATATACTCCTCCCATCTTTCTTTCATCTCCTTTAAATTGATTACTATCTTTCCCGAAAAAGATTTTCCTTGAACAGCTGAGATAAGCATGTCCTCTAGAAAATGTGAGGACTTTCCTAGATCAACTCCACAGATGTGTGTATGTATATAGGCAAGACAACACTTCTGGCTTTCTGCTAGTTAAGTAAAATAACTC